TAATGCTAAATCTGCTTTGAAAATTACTTTCTATGGTAGCATGAGGGTTAATGTCCGACCATTTATGCAAATTATGGATGTTATTTATGCCATCTCGAGTAAATTGTGACTCATCCGTAAATAAAATGTAGCGGTATAAGTTCCGATTATTATTTAACCATTGACAAAATGCCAAACGCCTAGGGAAGTCTTCTGGCTTCAGATGTTGAACACGCTGTAGATGATACGGATGCAGCAGATTTCTTTTTAATGTTCTCCATACCCTGGTATTGGGAATCTCTAAACGTATGGATATCCGTCGCGTACTAATGCAGGCATTGCGCTCGACAATGTCAAGGATGTTCTCTTCCTCTGCAACATTCTGTTGTGTTGCTCGTTCATACTGCATATGAACGCTCGGAAGTAAACCAGTTTCTCGGAGAGCTTGGAAGGTACTACTAAAAGTCTTCGGCGATGGAACACGCCGATTTGGAAAACGTCGTCGATATTCAATTGAAGCTGCAGTAGCGTTTCCATTACAATTTCCCAGTACAAAAACCATATCAGCATACTCAACAGTCGTAAACTTAAACGGCATTGTAATAAAACCCAAATAATTTTAGATTAAACGGTAAGCTTGTCAAATTTGATAGTAAGGTAAATAAGTACTTTATTTTACTAATGCAGTCATAGCACACTTACCCTTTGGGCCCCGCGCTGGGCCGTAACGCCATAATTTTTAAATATTATTTTCAAATTCATATAACTCAATAAGTGAAGTGAATCGGACATATGTTCATATGAACTTTTTTATTACAAATCATCTAAACAACATGCTCCATTAGTGCCGGGAGAACTTCATGAAACACCCTGTATATATATTTTTTTTTATTTTTTGTATAATTTTATGTTATGATATACTGTTATTTACTTCATTTGGTTTGCGTCTCTGTATATTTCTATTTGATTTCTTTATGTCAATTTTGTGATGCAGTATTATAGGGTTTGTCCCGTTCTGTATCCATTTGTATAAATAAATAAATAAGGGGTCGGGCCTAGTAGAAAATAAACTCCGCCTCGTTGCTTCCGAACGTCTGTCGTCTGCGCCCCTCAGAAACTGACCGACCTGGTAAAGTGGGCTCTTAAGGAGGACCTAGGCTGTTCATCTGCCGACCTTGTATACGGTCAATCACTTAGGTTTCCAGGAGAATGTTTTGTTAATATTCAACACCCTTTGGAATCTGATCCATTGCTATCTAGTTTACGAGAAACATTCTCTTGTTTGAAACCAGTAAACACAGTTTTTCATTTTAACCAAAAACCATTTATTCATAAAGATTTATTCATTCCAAAATTTGTTTTTGTCAAAATTAATGGGATTCAACCCTCTTTAACACCAAGATATGAAGGCCCATTTAAAGTGATAAAAACATTTTCGAAATATTTTGTAATTTTCAACAATAACAAGGAATTAGCTGTTAACATCAACAACCTTAAACCAGCATTGCTTTTAAAAGACAATTCAACATGTCACCACAGCGAGGTAATCAATTCTCATAACATAAAAATTCAAGAAAAAGTTACTTTCAATTTTTAAATATGATTTTTTTTTAACCACCATATTCCTCTTTTTATTAATCTTTATAGGAGGGGAAATGGCTGTAGCAAGCTGTGCACACGACATGTACAAACAAAAACCACGTTACCATATAAAATTATTATTATTATAAAATTATTATCATTCAAAATAATAATCAATCTATCAGCCCTTCCAATGTAGTTCATGTTATTATTTATTAAAATATTAATTTATCTTATTATATTGTGGACAACATATATACCCACAATATTATATCTTTATTGACTATTAACTCTTTACAGTTCTTTTTACACACGAGTTGCTTTTATGCAATCTTTATGGAACTAATCGTACTGAAGCGCAAAGTTTATCATCCAATCTGTCTTACGTCGAGTTGGCCTTGACAACGTTGTTTTTTAATAAAAAGAAGAAACCTGTGCGACGATAGCAACAAACCTCCCAGCAACAAACTTTTACCCGTAATTTCCTATCTACTTTCTTAGCTGATATCTTCCTTATTATTAGAGATAGCGAAAAACGCTATCTCTAATAATAAGGAAAAACGCACCACTTGAAAGCTTGAATCTTTCTCTATCTAAAACCGGGTTTTTGTCTTCCAATAAGTTGATATTAAGATCAATAAAAAATGAAGAACTCCGCGCTGTACTTAAAATAGCTCAAAATTACCAAACTTCAAGGCCTTGTGCAATTGTTATAAAACCGAATTTTAAAAAACTGTTATCACTGTCAGAAAGGGCGCTCCTTCAGCTATCTTAATCCGAGTTTTCGTCGGTCAATATCTATCGGCGTCATGCTTAAATCACCCTTAATGTCCATCCCTACACGCAGAAACGCTTAAATACTCTTCCTCTAAACAACTTTCTTATTTGATAGGGAGAAAACTATAGAAACATATCTATCTTATCGCAAATATTCTGCTCTTTCTAGTAGTGTATAACACGCGGCGATCACGCGCATGCACACGTACATTTTTGGAAAAAAACTGCTAAATTCATACGTTTTAGCCATTTTTAGACCATGTTCGGGTTGATAACTTTCTTATATGACCAGGAGAAAACGTTAAAAGTCTGTTGCTATCGTCGCACGGGTAAAGAAGAAATGGTACTGCGTAATCGTATTAGCTTCTTTTTCGAATTTTTCCGCTTCGCAGCCCTTTAAACTTTTGAAATTACCTTTTCCACATTTAGTTAGATGATTAGTTAAGAGCATATCCTCCGTGCACTGACAGTGTCCTCCGACGCAAATCGATCCATTAAATTCGCATTACACCGATCCCCAAACATTTTCGTACCAATTATTGTGCCATCTAAAACGGAATACAAACAAATTTCTTATTTTATTTTATTTTTATTACAATCTTGATCATAACATTTTTAATAATTAATCAATTAATGAATTAAGGTTAAGTTGATTTTTAACATTATTTAAAAATTCGTACCAATTAATAACCGAATCACTATTAGCTCTAAAACATTTAAAAAAATTAATAGCCGTGGAATTGAACCCGGGTGGAGTGATATAATCGCAATGATTAATAATACGCTCGATGGTAATCTTTTTTTTATTGTCTTCGGGAACGAAACGTTTCATTTCGTCCATTTTTAACTGGTTGTTGATGTCGGAGAAATTCATTTTTTGGAAGAAATACGTTAGATATTGGCGAAAATTGTTCGATTCAATCGGTTTCCCCTCGAAAGCTGTCGTAATTTCCTTCAGAACCGCTCCGTCAGAACTTAAAGTACACAAATAATGAGCTGAGGACATTTGTTGCTCACCAAGGAGTTGAGATGATGATGGATTCTTAAA